TGTCCCTGTCTGCTCTTTCTCCTACTTTACCTTTGTGCTCCTTCTGATTCTTTCTGCTCCTTTACCTTTGTGCTCCTTGCTGTCCCTTTCTGCTCCTTGCTGTCCCTTTCTGCTCCTTGCTGCCCCTTGCTGCCCCTTCCGGCTCCTTGCTACCCCTTCCTGCTCATTCTCCTACTTTACCTTTGTGCTCCTTCTGCCCCTTCCAGCTTCTGCTCCTTCTACTTTACCTTTGTGCTGCTTTACCTTCCAGCTCCTTGCTGACCCTTCCTGTTCATTTGTGTTCCTTTGTGCTCCTTCTCCTACTTTACCTTTTGTGCTCCTTGCTGTCCCTTCCAGCTCCTTGCTGCCCCTTTCTGCTCCTTGATGTCCCTTCCTGCTCATTTCTGTTCCTTCTCCTTTTCTTACCTTACCTTCCTGCTCCTTGCTCACTCTTCATGTAGGCTGTCTTCCCCATTCCTCACTTCTATAGGCGTGCGCACGGGGTGTGTCGGGTGTGCCTGGGCACACCCTAATCCCCGCGGCACGCCAATGGATTGAGACTGGCAGGGGAGATCTCTGGATCTCCCCGGTCGGCTCATGCAGAGCCGACGCTATCCGAGCGGCGGCTCTGGTCTAAGCCTCCATGGGCCGGTGGGGAGATCAAAGTTCTACCTCACCGGTCCACAGCAGCATGGAGGGAGGCAGCAGACAACCCGGGCTAGAGTTCACTCTCCACCAGGGAAGGCAGCAGGACTGGGATATTAACTAGTCTGCCCCCACCTCCACCCAAACATACAGCACACACACATACAGCACACACAGCCCACAAACAGCACCCACACACACACAGCACCTACACACATGCATCACCCTTGCACACACAGCACCCACACACACACAGCACACTAACAGCATCCTCACAAACACACAAAACCCACACACAAATACCTGCATAGTACCTCAGAATACACAAATAAAGTACACTCTCATACAAACAGTACCCTGACAAATACACAAATACCTCGCATACAAACAGCACACTAACAGGGACCCAACAAAACATGCAGCCACACAAACACTTCTCTCACACACACACACACAGCACACTACTAGTTCCCTTTCACAAACAGCACTCTCTACACACAGTAATACTAACAGGCACTCTCACACACACACACACAGAAAAGGCATATACACACATACATATACACATGGCGTGTGTTTGTGCTTTAGGGTGCACACCCTAATGCAATAGGCTGCGCACGCCTATGCTCACTTCCCTAATCTATAGGCTGCCCCCCATGCCTCACTCCCCTAATCTATAGGCTGCTGCCTCCCCAAATCTATAGGCTGCTGCCCCCCAAAAATCTATAGGCTGCTGCCCCCCCCAAATCTATAGGCTTCTGCCCCCCAAAAATCTATATAGGCTGCTGCCCCCAAATCTATAGGCTGCTGCCCCAAAAATTCCATAGGCTGCTGCCCCCAAATCTATAGGCTACTGCCCCCAAAATCTATAGGCTGCTGCCCCCAAAAATATAAGCAGGCTGCTGCCTCAAAACAATCAGTAGGCTGCTGCACCCCCTCAAAATCTATATAGTCTGCTGCACCACCACCCAAAATCTATAGGCTGCTGCCCCCAACAAAAAAATCTATAGGCTGCTGCCCCCCAAATTCCAAGTGGCCGCTGCCCCCTCAAAATCTATAGGCCGCTGCCCTCAGGCCATAGGCTGCTGCCTCTAAATTCATGGGCCATGCCCCCCCCACAAAATTATAATCTATAGGCTGCTGCCCCCCAAAAAATCTATAGGCTGCTGCCCCCAAAAAAAATCTATAGGCTGCTGCCCCCCAAAAAATCTATAGGCTGCAAAAAAAAAATCTATAGGCTATCTCAAACCCTCCCCCATCCCCACTTACCTGATCTGTAGGCTGTCTCTGGCTGCATGTGTTGTTCCCCTGCGGTTTCAATCAGCAGAGAGAAGCAGGGATAAGATGCAGCTTCCTATCCCTGTCTCTCTCCATACACTACTGGCCGACGCCGGTATTGCAGTTCATTTTAAATCTCACACGAAAAAAGCAGAACAAGCTGAAAAATCCAGGGGGGGGGGCAAGTGCTCCCCCTTGCCCCCCCCTGCGGACGCCCATGCATGCAACTCACCCCCACATTGCAGCAAATTAAAGGAAGATACTTAGCCTTGCTTACCTTGAGCAGTGCACTACCACAAGGCTGAAAAACCCTATATCCTGATCAACCCAGGATAGTTGGGTTTCACCAGGGATCAGTACTGCCTCCCATCTTTTGTTACTAGACAAAATCAGACTACTTACATTTAGGTCACTCACAGACCTAATCGTTTCTCCAAGTTACTCATCTCCCCCCTGAGTTTCTTTGTTAATATTATTTTGCTTTTAATCTTTGGCTTTGACCCTAGGTACACAATGTCAAATATCTGTGGCTGTTACATCAGAAATAGACCGAAACCTGTGCTGTTAATGGAATACACTGATATTGTATAATGGACACCCTACAAATAGTCTCATATAATGTTCAGGGATTGAACACCCCAGAGGAAAGATGCATGGTTCTAAAGGAATTTAGGTGACTACGGGCAGATATAGCTTTAATACAGGAAACACACTTTAGGGCCACGTATAATCCCAAACTTTCCTCCCGAAGATACCCACATGCATACTATAACAATTTTGCCCATAGCAAATCCAGAGGAGTAGCAATACTAGTTGGCTTCGAAGTACCATTCACATACACACAACACCTACGGACATCTCAGGCCGCTTTATCATCTTATTGGGACAGAGAGGATCGACCCCTATAATAATAGTGAATGTATACTTATCAAATCGTAGACAATGTGCTTCGTTTACACAAATACTGTACATGATCCAAGCAAATGCAGTAGGGGACATAATCATTGGAGGCAACTTTAATCTGTCCTTAAACGCCATGAAAGACAACTCAGTCCCTAAATCTACGTATCTGGATGCCTCTAGGGCACAAATGTCAAAATCTCAAAGAGCATACAAGAATATTTTAGGGAGAACAGTGTGACAAACTCCCCTGTCCCCGTGAGTTTGCCACAAGCTCCTGGAGGAGCCTGCTTGCCAGCCTCCTGCCGACTGACTATGGGCCAGATCAGCGACTGTAAAGACCCATATTTTATTCCCCCTGGTTCAGCACTTTCCATTTGTGCGCACATTTTTGAACGCTAGGTCCCTGGTGGCCGTTCGCATTGACAAAAAACGCGAATAGAATTCAGGGTGACTTAGTGGCGAAAGCATAGGAACTATTTTTGGCATGAAGACTTCGGTGTTCCTGGTTGGTCCCCAGCGGCAGTTAGCCTCGATTCCATGGAACTATTTTCAGCATGAAGACTTTGCAGTTCCCGGTCGGTCCCTACCGGCACTTGGCCGCGATTCTATGGAACTCTTTTCGCATAGGGGACCATGCGTGTGGTTGGTCAAATTATGACTTCCAGGAAATTCCTGAACCCCTGAACCAATCTGGGTGATTTTTGGATATGTTGGTCACCCAGATCAGGGGATGTAACTTTTGTGGGGTTTTATGTATTTTTAAGGTACTTTTGGGATGTTTGGGAAATGTGCGTTTTTTGTGCTTGGAGATAATTGAGTTTAATACAGTGCTTGACTCAATTATCTCCCAGGCACAGTGGAGGGATTATCTTGTTTTGTATAGGAGTGTCTTGGACCTGAGAGCCAATGTAATTGTGTTTATGTTTTTACTGTAGTCTACTCTCAGGTCCAGGGGGGAGTGCTCCTTGCATGGGGATCTCTATATATGGCTAGATGTGGCTGCCATTAAACGTATTCCAGCTTATACTCCCAGAATGTGTTGTCTGGTTACTGGAAGGGGAAAGGGCTACTCTTTAATCACTGTTCCAGTGTTGAGGATTCAACTGGGAAAGTCATTGTAAGTGTGTCGTCCAGTGCTTGGGGGTATCTAGAGTGATTTCCTAATCGGCTCCAGGAGGGAGTGGTTCCAGAACTAGACCTCCCAGGACTGAGTGACGTCCAGTGCCTGAGGGTGCTAGAACAAGTTCCCCATTCAGCTCCAGGAGGGAGCGGTCCCAGGGCCCCAGTCAAGCCACTGCGACTGTGGGTAGAAGTGCAGTGGTTTTTGCCCTGTTCGAGCTAGGAAGCAGTCCATGGTGGAGGTACCTAGTCAGGGGTACAGGGAGCTCTGCTACAATTGGTTTCAAGCGGCTGGATACAAGAATCACAGAAAAAGGAAGCAACGTTCATATGTGTTTGGTTATATGAATTAAAAAGTGAAGCAGCAAGTTCGCACGCAAGCAGCGGTTCGTATGCAATTCGGTTATATGAATGAAATAGTGAATGGAGACGAACTATGCAGCATTGAAACGAACAACATTAAAAGAGTTCAAAAAAATAAGTGTCAGCGCTATCTGTGATAGCCTTACATAGGCAATCATTTTAAATGTGAAAATCTACAACTTATTCTTGTGAATTAGTAGTATATATATATATATATATATATATATATATATATATATATATTGAACTATATATCACAATAAATTGGATTAAACACAGAATTAAGTTCAAAACTTGCTTAAGAGTCCAAAAGTCTTTAGGGGGTTAATCTTTGTCTTTCAGCAGAAATCCATACATAAAAAACCTTGTATTTAAAACATAATCTGTTATGTCAAATGATGTTCACTCATAGCAAATACTTAATTACATTTCATAAAAACCGTGCTATCAGCAATACATAGCTAATCATAAAATATATAGAAAACATAAAATAGGGATTTATGTCATTATTACTAGAGGAACTTGTCAGCAAGAGTATAAGTTAATGAATCATAAAGGGTGAGAAATAAATGTAAAAAATTATCTACACATTTAATTTGCATTAAATAATTTGTAAGTACATATGTTCCTATAGATATAAATCGGCTTATTCTTATCAGCGTATGGGCAATTTGTAAGTACATCTGATGCTATACATTTAGATCTGCTTATTCTTATAAGCATATATTACGGTATGCACACTCCCCACATTAATATTATCACATATGGGTATTCGTCAGCTTCTTTTACAAAATTGCAGACATCTCCACACTAATACTGTGTTTGCTCGACTGCTTAGTTTATACAATGCAGACGTCTATTAGTATACCCCCAACTTTATCTACACTCATATGTAGTGGGAAAAGATCAAATCTAAAATTAGAAGGTATAGGATCTCAGCCATCTCAACGTATCTAGAGATGGGAAAGAGAAATATCTCAAAAAAAGTCGGCAATCTAATAACGTGGCCGATATACAAATTAGGGGGGAAAATCCCATATTAAAACTTCTCACTCTGGGGTTTTCTTCTAGGTAGGAGAAAAGCAAAAATAAATAAGTCCTCAGTGGAAAATTATTCTATCAGAACATGATATATCTACAAAATCTAAAAGGTGTGGCTCACCATATGTCTAAAAACTCTAATCCTAGACACCATAAATAGAGATTAATCATATGTTATTCACAACTTCTATGCACATTCATTCCAAAAGGATCCAAAGTCTTCAAGCAATCTCCGGGTAAATTAATCTTTTAGCCAGTTCTCCCCCTCTTCATGGAACATTAACATTTTCTATCTCGCAAACGTTAAACATCCTGGATCACTTTCATGATATTCCATGAAGTGTTTTGACAATGAGTGTTTTTCAAATTTTCTTTTTATGTTATATATGTGTTCGTTAAGTGTTATCTTAAGCATCGTCTTCGTCTGTACTGCATATTCTTGTCCACTCGGACAGCCTAAGAGATAAATCACTTGCTTAGAGTGGCA